GTGTTAAAGACAGGCTCCACAACAACTGCGCATCTGAACATCACCTAAAATGTAAATTCAAATGCTTCCAATTCATTAACTGCTGAAAAACTGAAATGATTTGCAAATTAAAAAAACACTTTATATCAAAAAACTAAAATGTGCTTGGTAAATGCATTTGTTTCCAGTCTGTTTATAATTGTGCATGCCACTTTTTAAAACCGTAGGACTTAGTATGCTTTTAAAAATGTTTTTGAAAGTCACTTATGTTCACCAAGGCAGCATTTATATAACACAAACACAGAATAAATATATACACTCACCGGCCACTTTATTAGGTAAACTTTACTAGTACTGGGTTGGACCCCCTTTTGCTTTCAGCACTGCCTTAATCCTTCATGGCATTCAACAAGGTACTGGAAATATTTCACAGAGATTTTGGTCCATATTGACATGACAGCCTTACGCAGTTGCTCCAGATTTGTCGGCTGCACATCCATGATTTGAATTCCCTGTTCCATCACATCACAAAGGTGCTCTATTGGATTGAGATCTGGTGACAGTGGAGGCCATTTGAGTACAGTGAACTCATAGTCATGTTCAAGAAACCAGTCTGAGATGGTTTGCGCTTTATGACATGCGCTTTATGTTACCCTGCTGGAAGTAGTCATCAGATGAATACACTGTGGTCATAAAGGGTTGGACATGGTCAGCAACAATACTTAGGTAGGCTGTGGCGTTGACACGATGCTCAATTTGTACTAATGGACCCAAAATGTGCCAAGAAATCATCCCCCACACAATTACACTAGTACCAGCAGCCTAAACCACTGATACAAGGATGGATCCATGCTTTCATGCTGTTGACCCCAAAATCTGACCCTGTCATCCAAATGTCGCAGACTCAACGTTTTTGCAATCTTTTATTGTCCAATTTTGGTGAGCCTGTGCAAATTGTAGCCTCAGCTTCCTGTTCTTAGCTGACAGGAGTGGCACACAGTGTGGTCTTTTGCTGCCGCAGCCATTACGCCTCAAGGTTTGGCATGTTGTGGGTTCAGAGATGCTCTTCTGCACACCTCGGTTGTAACAAGTGGTTGTTTGACTTGCTATTTATTGCCTTTCTATCAGCTGGAACCAGTCTGGCCATTCTGTTTTAACCTCTGGCATCAACAAGGTATTTGCACCCACAGAACTGCTGCTCAATGAATATTTTCTCTTTTTTGGCCCATTCCTTATAAACCCTTGAGATGGTTGTGCATGAAAATCCCAGTAGATCTGCAATTTCTGAAATACACCAACCTGTCTGGCATCAACAGCCATACCACGTTCAGTCACTTAAATCACCTTCCTGCCTCATTTCGTCTTGACCATGTCTACATGCCTAAATGCTTTGAGTTGCTGCCATGTGATTGACTGATTCAAAATTTGCATTAACGAACATTTGGACAGGTGTATCTAATAAAGTGGCCGTTGAGTGTATATGTTTATCTTCAACTATGAATGTCAAACTTATAAATAAAAAGGACTAATTAAAATGACTGCTCGTTAAAGCAGGAATCCCCAATCCTGTTTCTGCAGATCTACCTTAGACAAAGTTTAGTTTTAACCCTGATCAAACACACCTGTGTGTAATTATCAAGAGCTTCTTCAGATCCTAATTAGTTAATCAAGTTGTGTTTGATTGTGCATTTCTGAGTGTACTTCACACAGGTGAGTGGGCTTGACAAACCACCTGTAGAAACACTCTTCTGTCTATGTGCAACGGACACTTTACTTAAACTTCATCTTACAAAGACCTTTTGCATGGAATAATCTACAAACAAATTTGCAGTTTAAAGAATTGATTTCACTAAATGCTTTTAAAAAGAGTATAAATGAGTTAGAAATTGAAACACAGGCTTGTAGATGATTTAATTAGTTTGTTTTTCAATGTTTGGTTCATGTTAACTCTTAATTGTTTTTTATTAGACTCAGGTGACTTGTATACTGCCTAATCTTGGCCAGGATGCTTTTAATCTCAATGTGTCTTTCCTGGTAAAATAAAGGTTATAATAATAATAATAATAATAATAATAATAATAATAATAATAATAACAAAAAGTTCACTTGTGAATGTAACACAAATCATGATGCCTCTTTAGCACAATATCTTGCAGTGCAAGACAGTACAGTACAGTTAACAGCACAGTCTGTCTTAGGTTATGTGTATAGTATAGTATATGTCAAGTTAGCGGTTAGTATAGTTATATTACCTTTTGGGTGTACTTGTTTTGTATACAGTAGGTTTGAAATATATCTTACAACCAGTGTTGTGTTCATATTTATGTTTGTTAACTTACAATGTAAAAAAGGTTTCACAAAATTACTTAATGTTGTCCCAACACAAATAGATCAAGTTAACTTAATAATTTTTTGTAATTTAAGTGGATTGAACATAAAACAACTGTGTTATCCTAAAAAAAACATTAAGGAATTGTTTTTTTTTAACTCATTTTAAATACGTAATTTGAATGAGCAGCAAAAGCCTTTTTTTGTTGATTATTTAGCACCCTTGTCCTGCGAGACATAACATATGCAGTAGAAAGACAATAAAGCTCAACCTGACTTGATCAGAGTTGGAGCTGAATTCTGCAGGAAGATAGATCTCTAGAAACAGGGTTCAAGACCCTTGCATTAAAGCATAGAAGAACCTCTCATTTGTATTACTTAGCGTTTTCATTAAGCTGGTGGTTACAAAACTCAGAACAACAGTGTTACCAGTTGGACCGAAACAGGAAGCTCAACTACTCTGCAAATGACCACAGCCGCTCCAGGCAGCTCGCCATGGGAACAATGTCAAAACCCTGATTGCTGCAACATCCAACTGTTAAACCACAGAAAAGCTCAACTGGCAGCCACTCAAAGGCAACACACAGACAGCCCTTTAAATAATGCCCAGGCAAGCACTACCCACTTTGTGAAGTGAGTTCACACATCTGTAGTCAAAACCAACACTTAACTGTGGTGTGTCACAGACATTGAGGCCACATCCCATGGCGTGAGTTTAACTAGCTAAACTGTCTATTATAAGTATAAAACCTATTTCAAAAATTTGAGTTTTGACATCAGTCACTTACCCTAATGCTGACTCAAACCCATAAGACTTAAATTCATATTCAAAACACAAATTGGTATTATTTTTTTATGAAATCTGAGAACTTTTGATCTCTCCATTGAAAAGCCATGCCATCAAAAAATTGCAGCTTCAAAACAATTACATATTAATCAATCAGATGAGTGGTTAAACTGACCAATTCTCATCTTCTGACAGCTTCATGTTTTGAAGAACATTAAAGAAGCTTTTCATTCACAAATAAACATTGGTGAACTAAAATCAACCTAAAAAGAAATGCATGCTGGACCAATAAGATTTGATCTGCGTTTAAGCTTTATGCAGCCAAAAAATAAAAATGTACTCGCTATTAAATAACCCTCAAGTGGTTTTAAATTAGTGGTTATACAGGTTTCTTTCTTTTGTTGAATACAATAGAGGACATCGTCAAGAAAGCTGGAATCCTGTAACCATTGATTTCCATATTAGAAAAAAAGAAATATTATACGGGAGTCAGTGGTTACAGGTTTTAAACATTCTTCAAAGTGTCATCTTTTGTTTTTAACAGAAGAAAGAAACTCAAGCAGGTTTGAAACAAGTAAAGGGCGAGTAAATGATGACAGAATTATTAGTTTTGGATGAACTATCCCTTTAAGTAAGTACTGTTGACTTGTTTTCATTGTTGGCTTACATAATTACATGCTTAGATATGGAGCTAATAATAAGCCAAAACAATCTGAATCTGTATAATTTTCCTCTGAGTTGTTAACAATTGTAATTTAATAAAACTGAATATTATATGCTATTAAAAATGTTTTAAATTTGAATTTCTTAACTTGAATTTTATTTTTTTTTAACTCACCTACTCTTTCCTGTTGATAACCCTTGACATACTTTTTTTACAAACCCAATATCTGTAGTCTATTAATTCAGAACCCAACAAAATCTGAAGTTGGAAAATATGTCTAATAATCTGACTTAAAAAAAAAATAAAAATCAGTTGTCTTAAATTTCAGATATTCAATATTCAAGTTAAGAAATTTTAATTCAAGTTAAGAAATTCAAATTCAAAACATTTTTTAATGGCATATAATATTTAGTTTTAGAATTGTTAATTATTCAAATGAATACAATTCAAATTCAGATTGTTTTGGCATATTAACTTAATGTTTTTTTTTTACTTTTAATGGAAAAAACTTTATCAATTAAAACTTCAAGGTTTAATTACAAACATGCTTATTTGTGTTTGGAACATGAACAAAAGCTTGAAGATTAGAAGTGTGATTAAATGATGACAAAAAATCACTTCTGGATGAACTAATCTTTTAATGAAAAACTTTACTTGAAGCGATTAAAAAAAAAATCAACTAAATAAATTACAAAGACACTTTAACAATTGGCAAGGCAAGTAAAAATCCAAACTATAGGCCTGACTGGCCAGCTGAAAAAAAAAAAGAAAACTCTATACTGCTGAGCCCTGACACAGTGAGTGGGTCCATAACAAAGCCTCACACCAGTACAGAGCTCTTTTTGAGATTTACTATTAACCCCAGAACAGTAAAGAAAACCCAGTGTAGCTTGAAAGTGTGGAGAGAGCTGGAAAGAGTGTGAAAAGTAGAACTTGGGGTGTGTGTGTGCAATTCCTCTGAAAAGCAAATCTGAGGTCAGGTATAGTGGAAGTCAATCAAATCAAAATAATATGAACAATATTATACGATCGGAAATGCTGCTAAATTAGCATCAAAGACATCAGATCTGCAGGCTGCTACATAAGGGCAAAAATTATTAACAGAAGGAAAATAAAGTCTTGAATCATGCAACTGCTCATCAGTGGTGAATAAAGAATCTTTAGCATGGGTTTTTGAGTTAGTAAAAAGACAAATTTAATGAACTGCTGCACTCTGGCCTGTGTTGTGATGCTGTTACCCACCTTATCAGACTGCCGCATGTAGCAGTACATAATCCCTCGCATACATTTGATAGCAGAGTGTTCCAGTTCATGAGTGCGGCCCATGTCATCATCGATGCGCCTGTGTGACAAACAAAGTCAAGTCAAGTTGTGCCATCTTTATTTTGATTGTTGTTTTTACAATGTGGATTGAGTAAATGCAGCTTTATAGTTGAAAAAAGGAGCAAAAAGCAATAACAATACGTCAGATTGTGGAACATCTCAGAATATCAGTAAGGAAACACCTGCATAAGATCCTGATAAACATTTTTCATATTGAACATACTATTATTGTATATATTTTGGATACCTGAACACCTTTTATTTTTATACTTTAATTTTTTTAACTTTTTGAATTCACATTGAAACAGCACTCTACAATAACATATAGATATGTATATAACACATGTAATACATAATGCCAATTGACATATTTATTAATATATAATCAATTATAAAGAGAAAAAAAATGTAAAAAAATCTAAATAACATTTCATAATCTATACATAAAGGCAGAAATTATTCATTCATTTATTTTATTTTCGGCTTAGTCCTTTTATTAATCTGGGGTCGCCACAGCGGAATGAACCACCAACTTATCCAGCATATGTTTTGCGCAGCGGATGCCCTTCCAGCAGCAACCCATCACTGGGAAACCCATACACACTCATTTGCACACATACATACACTATGGACAATTTTGGCTTACCCAATTCACCTGTACCGCATGTCTTTGGACTTGTGGGGGAAACCGGAGCACCCGGAGGAAACACATGCGAATGCAGGGAGAACATGCAAACTCCACACAGAAATGCCAACTGACCCGGCCAAGTCTCGAACCAGTGACCTTCTTGCTGTGAGGTGACAGCACTACCTACTGCGCCTCTGCTCTCATAATGAATTCAAACAATAGTCAGTAATTAAAAGATGTTTAGTTTTCCAATGCTAAAGTTCCAAAATTAAACTTTAATAAATAAATAAATTACTTTTCATGTTGTGCTACCACATCAAGTTCAGTGTTGACTGTCCTGTCTCTACGGATTTGGTAAGTGCAAAGTTAGTTAGTATCGTCAGCAGTACTCTTTCAGTTATTAAAGACATACCTTAGTCAAAATGATTTAGTTACTAAGTTTACAGTACGGTAATATCACTACAAAACAAAATCCTTTGTAAATGCTGCTCTCCGAATGTAAACACCTTAATTTAAACAATAACTGTTGTGTACACACATTTTGTGACAGGACAGTCTATACAAACATGGCTTTCTGACGCTACCTACGGAGTGCATCTAAGTTACAGAAATTGCTAGAAAGTTAGAAATGCTGAGCATTTTTTTTTTCTCACATACGGCGTGTGGTATCAAAAATTCCATTATAACTACACTCTTCCAGCATTTCCTCATATTCAACATCTCGTTTGTCACGGGGGCATGCATGAAATGTTCCTAAATAAAAGTGAAAGTGCCAAACTGCAGTTAAAGTCAACAAATTAAGAATTTGGCAAATAATTCAATTACTAATGTTCATGTAAACATAGTCACTGTCTTTCTCCCCTGAGTCTGTGTGTTGTTTTGCCTCTGTGAAAATGAGCGCGTGCTTGAATGGAAAACTCCCATTTTTATGCAAAGTCTTCCCTCTTTCGCAACTCGACACTCTTAGCTAAATCTAAACTAACCTAAACAGAGCTTGACTCACCCACTTTCCTGACTTTTTTCAAACTAGAGATAAGAAAACACCCTGCTGAGACAGAGGGGCTTCATAGCCCTTTAAGAACCATATGACATTTTTCCTGCAACTCTCAACCAACATCTCTGTAAAAGAATGCAGTATTTTTTATATTGAACATATTAAATCTGCAATACGCCTTCACCATACAGCTAGACAACTGTTCAAACGATTACAGCAATAAAATAAGCAAACACACATAAGAAAGCTGATGTGCACACACATGCACACCGCCCACATGTACTCCTACAGAGACAAATAGAGAGTAAGTAATGGGTTCAGGCTTTGCTGTCAGATTGGAATCATCTTAATTAAACTCCTCTGACAATGCTAATATGCAGAGGTGAAGACTGATGACTAGGTCTGTCTCTGATATACGCCTGCTCTCTATTTTTATCTTCGCATTTGTCCTCTAGAGGAACAACCCTCACCAGGAGCAGCGAGGAAGAGAGTAGAAGAAAAAAAACACTTTGTTGTTGCATGAGTTCAATGGAAGCTGCCTTTCTTTGGTGCCCTCCTAAAAATCTTGTAACCTTGACCCAGGCCTCCAGAGTGCTGGCGACCTGCTTTAGAAAGAAGTGAGGTGTGTGTATGTTTGCGCATGTCTTATATATTTATCTGTTACACCAATAAAATATACACCAATATAAAATATATAGGACTAATTATTTTGTTGTAGATTTACTTGAAAGGGTGTTCATAAGACCGTCATGAAACCTTTATAATCATTACACTACACATGCCATGTCATGTGAATGAGATTTTATGCATGCTTATGACAACTGCTACAGTAAAATAGAGAAGGAATCGATAAAACATCTGTTTTATACATGTGCATTCATACCACATACACAGTTGAAGTCAGAATTATTAGCCCCCCTGAATTATCTGCCCCCGTTTATTTTTTCCCCCAATTACTGTTTAACGGAGAGAAGATTTTTTTCAACACATTTCTAAACATAATAGTTTTAATAACTCATTTCTAATGACTTATTTATTTTATCTTTGCCATGATCACAGTAAATATTATTTTACTAGATATTTTTCAAGATACTTCTATACAGCTTAAAGTGACATTTAAGGGCTTAATTTAATGATTGTTTGTTCTGTAGACTATCGAAAAAAAATGTAGCTTAAAGGGGCTGATAATTTTGTCCCAAAAATGTTTTTTTTTAATTAAAAACTGCTTTTATTCTAGTCAAAATAAAACAAATAAGACTTCCTCCAGAAGAAATATTATCAGACATACTGTGAAAAGTTCTTTGGTCTGTTTAACATAATTTTGGAAATATTAAAAAAATAATAATAAATAAAAGGGGGGCTAATAATTCTGAATTCAACTCTATACCATATGGTTTAATGTTAAATATTTTATATTTAAACTTACAAAAAAAATAAAATAAAAAAAAATAAAAAAATAATATATATATATATATATATATATAATGATAAAACGTTGGAGCAAATGTTGTTTATCAATTTAACTATTTATGGGAAATTTGTACACAAATAAAAATGGTAAAATGATAAACATTTTTTTGTTTAAAATTTATGTTAATCATTATATCTCTAAAAGACTTTAGAAATAAAAATGCTATAAAAATGTATGCAATTTTGTAATCATTTTCTTATGCAGACTTCTTGTAATTTATATATGCCCTGTAATTTTATTTATTTTTTCATTTTATTCTCTATTAATTTGTTCCGTAGATGTGAAAAAAGTGCAAGTACTGTATTTCTCAATTCTATTGTTCTTGTTATGCAATAAACAAATGACAACTGTTATTAAGTAGGGGAGTCACAGTGGCACGGTGGTTAGCACGATCGCCTCAAAGAAGGAAGGTCGCTGGTTCGAGCCTCGGCTGGGTCAGTTGGCATTTCTGTGTGGAGTTTGCATGTTCTCCCCGTGTTCGAGTGGGTTTTCTTCAGGTGCTCTGGTTTCCCCTCAAGTCCAAAGACATGCACTATAGGTGAACTGAATAAGCTAAATTATCCATAGTGTATGTGTGTGAATGAGTATGTATGGATGTTTCCTATTGATGGGTTGCAGCTGGAAAGGCATCCGCTGCATAAAATATATGCTGGATAAGTTGGCAGTTCATTCCGCTGTAGCAATCTCAGATTAATAAAGAGACTAAGCCGAAAAGAGTATGTATGAATGAATGAATGTTATTAAGTGTCATTCACCCAGTTATATTATTTTAAACACAAAGATGACATTGTTTATTATGATAATTTGACAAATAAATCACAACCTGTCTTCATCTTTGTCATTGCCAACTTGACATTACACAGACAACAGAAATTGTCAAAGATCTGTCATAAACATGTTTGTTATGATGCATTATAATTGTGCCTCATGACATTGTGTTTGTCTGATCACATTTTAAGTGGAATAAACTGAATTTGTCATTAGAATATGTCATTAAAGGTGTTATTACTCTGTCAAATAGTCGTAAGCATCGTGATTAACATTTAATTACATTTTAATGACAAATTTAGCTTGTATCACTCTAGTTGAGGTCAAAAAAGTATTAACGTCAGTGTTATAAAATTCAATACATATTTACAACGGCTTTATGACAATCATGTTTATGACAGATTTTTATGACAAGTTTTGTTGTGTTGGTAATGTTAAGTTGTAACAACAAAGACAAAAACAGGTTTCGATGTATTTGTTCATGTCAAGTCGTCATAACAAACAATAGGTGCATCTCAAATAGCATACTTCTGCACTATTCTATGCCATTTAGTAGTATAAATAGTTTAAGTAGTGCATTCACACTGAAATTTTAAAAAGAATAAGTGCACATTAAATTCCCGGATGATGCACTTATTCAACTTATAAAGTGAAGTGTGGAATGTTGGAAACTCAACGATTGCAATAAATTACTTTATTTATTTTGGATTTTGAAAGAAAAGTTTTTCTATGAGAGTGATTATCTCCCGATGGTGAATGCAGTTATACTCGTGACAGGTAATATTTGGTAGTTTGGTCATTTATTTAGCTAATTTAGCCACCGTCAAACATAATCTGGAAAATGGTTTGAATTTCCGTTTAGTAAAAAAAATGTTAGTGTTCCATTTGGGACAACACTACATTCATATATTATGCTGTTAAGTGTGTAAGTGCGTAAGATGCATAGTGCATTGTGTATACTGTGCCATTTGGGATTCCTTTTGGCATTTAAAATGTCATAACGGAGTAAATGACACTTAATGACAGTTGTTATAGAACCTCATTCACATTCATGACATGTGTCATGTCCTGATTACAAAGATTTAACGATAGTCTTATAAACACCCCTTTAAGTAAAGTGTCACCTTCTTTTCTACCCTTAAAAAGCATTGTTTTCTAGCAGTTTATTTGCACTCAAAAAGAACTGCAACTCTGCATTCTGTTTACTGCCTCAAATCAATTGGAATTTCAAATGCATTCGGAATTCAAATGTTTGCTATTATGAATGTTAAACATGCAGTTACAGATAAATGAATAAATTAGGAAAATAAGCATACCAAACTATGAGTATGTGTTTGGTTGTTTCTCAGCCAGTTTCAATTCAATTCTTATGAAACAGAACACAATACCAAAAACTGATGCTGACTAGCCAAGGCCATACATCAAAACCTTAAGCATTTACGGTGTTGTCACATTTATTTGTCCGTATCATTACATTCTTTTATAATAGTATTTTAGTATTAATATTGAAATAGTTTTGGAATGACATTAAGCTGGACAAAAAGACAAATCTTATTTTAAATGAAAGAAAAAAGGTGGTGCAAAGCAGTATAGAATGCTGAAAGTAAGCATCATGAGATAGGCAAGTACATTTTAAGAAGAAAAATTATGCCTAAAACATAATCAAATCATTAAAGCAGCTAAAGAGCAAAAAGACAAATGTTCTACAACACCTCCAGCTAAAGAGCGAGCAATCTGGTGTTTGGTCACAGCATCTTGGATTGAAAGTGACTTTGGACAATCCCCTAAGAGGAACCTGGGCTTTAGCTCCAATATCTTGTTCAAGGGCATAAAGGGCATAGATTATCAATTCCCTCTTGCAGTTTGAACCTATGACCTTTAAGCTGTCAAGGTATCCGGTACATCCCTGGACATTAAGTTCAGTCTAATTTTGTCCTAGCTGAACTTTGGAAGCTGCAGTGTGAAAGCAGTGCTTAATGCGCTGGAAAAAAATGTATCTGTAGAAGTGGGTACAGGGAATATACTGAATTTACCTCAATGCGATTAATACAAGCACTGATAGACATTTATTAATGCAAGAGGGGAATACCTATATTTTAAAAAATATATATATATTTTAAAGTAAAAACAATATTATAATTTAATTTTGTATTTAAATGACATGATTGCAATGCAGCCATTTCTCCGATTTTCACTTGACTTATTCTCATTTACCGATTTGGTGCTCATTATTAAACATTTCTTATTGTCAGTCGTTGTGCTGCTTACCACAATCCTCTTCTTCAAGCCAAATGATTACCATAAAGCCTGTTCACACCAAGAGTGACTCAACAAACCAGTGTGATTAAATGTTCACATGCTTTTTGTGCAAAATACAAGCCATCTGACAAAACAGATTTTTCTTGCTCACTAATACAGCTCACAATACAGCTAACAGATGCTTTACTTTGCTTTACAATAGCTTTTTCAGCTTTTTGTCATTGGCTGTTAGATTCTTTTGGTATATACAGCATTGAATTCAGGGCATCTAGTGCTGTTAGTAAAGTGCATGCGTTTTATCTGTAATATTTTTTATCATAAAGAGATAGTTAACATACATCTGAAAATGCTGTAGTCTTTTACTCAAACCTGCTTAAAATTCTTTTTTCTGTTAAGACCAAGCAGATATTTAGAAGAATGTTTATGACTTCTGTTTGTTTACTGACTTCCATATGAGTGTGTGTGTTTAATCATGTTCAAAATAAGTTTGTATTTGCATAATGTGAGTATATACATCAGTGCTTTCCACACATAGACTGTACTTGGGTGGTCCGCCCAGGGGTGCGTTTACCAAACATTGATAAAACCATCATAGAACCATACATTGTTTGGGAAAAGAATGTGGTGATGAGTTTTTCCCAAAATTGTAGCTGCTTTGTTGCAGATTCATCATTAAAACCAAGTTGGTTTTAATGTAATATGTCCACATTGATGCTCTAAACAAGGTAGAGTAGAGAAAAAAACCCAAAATAATTATTTTTTTTTTTTTGTTAAACACGCACATGCATTAAAAAAAATATCCAATATTAGTATTGATAAAAAAAAAAATGACCTGGTTTTCCATTAATTGTAATAAATCTAAATGGCACATATAGGGCCAATGTTTTCTTTACAAATACTATTGAGAATTTGCCATTTTCTATTCTAAAACATTGTTTATTGATTTTTTTAAAAGTCTACTTTTACAATGTGACACTATAGCTTTCATCGTGAGCCATGGCTGCTTTCAAAATGGCACAATTGTTTTGAAAGTGCACTGCGAAGGGAACGCAACTGTCAATAGGAAGATCGCTAAAACTGTACTGTAAAAATACTTTAAAAAGCAAATTACGCCAGCGCCAAGTGATTAGTGCGTATACACATAGCACTGAGGTGCTCAAGGCAACCCAAGTTCAACTCCCAGCTCGAGGTCCTTTGCCGACCCTTCTCCCATCTCTGCTCCCCATACAATAAAGGTGATAAACCCCTAAAAAATTATTATTAAAAAAAGCAAACTACACCTAAGAGAGATGACTTTAATGTTGTTGTTTTTTTAATAATTCCAAGTTTAAATGTTGGAACATTCTAAATTAATAGGGCTTAGACCGGGAATAGAACGCAACCAGGAACTATGCTTCTAACTACAGCTCTACAGGTGTAGTTGCAAACGTACAAGTTTGCCGCGCAGTTTGAGAATGTTGAATGATGGATTTTGGAAAAAGTCAATGAACTATGTTTGTAACGACGAAACTTGCGACCTTACTTGGCTAATGATATTTTTTGGCAACGCAACCCAGGTATATTAATGGCTGCCCAAGTATATTTAGTGACACTTTTCTTTACTTTTATTATCATCATTATTTTACACTTTTTTATATCTGCCCAATATAACCAAACATCCACGATCGATCAAGTTTTGAAAAATCTCTCATTTACCCATTCCATTCAGTGCCTGCAAGACCTGTCAACACTCCCACAGACAATCTCACATGCTCTGCAGACCCATAGAGATGTGCGTTTTGGGCATTTAAAAATTTTGTCTGGCCAGGTTTTTCTAAGAGTTTAGCTTCAACCCTGATCAAACCCACCTGAACCTGCTAATCAAGCTCTCAGTAGATATACTAAAAACTTCCTGCAGGTGTTTTGAGGCAAGTTGGAGCAAAACTCAGCAGGACACCGGCCCTCCAGGACCCAGCTTGGACATGCCTGTTCTAGATTGTCTGGGATTTGACATTGGCTTTCGCTCTCTGTAGCTGCTAATCAAATGCGTTTTTGCAGGAGAGCAAGAGAAATATTAAATAATTTATTCTTTAATCTAAACAACTCCAAAACTTTTTACTAAATACTCGAAGAACAAAATGACTGGTCTAAACTGGCTGCAAAATATATGTACACCATCAGTAAATCATTTGCATTTAACATTATCTAAAATGTTTTAGCACTCAAGTTTGCTTTGAACTTGAAAAAGATGCAGATTTTACGTGTCAGTGGGTGTATATATATATATATATATATATATATATATATATATATATATATATATATATATATATAGTGTTCATTTATATATGCAGCACTATATGTCTATGTCCATTCATTTTTATCTAATAGCACTAGGAATAGACCAATGATATTAACAAGACAGCTCATAATGATAATGGGTTTATGGATTTTGATTCATTAGTGAGTATGGCATGGTTGTAAATGGGAGCACTGGAAAAGTGCCAGTTTCTCCAACACATTCATTTACATTTAACAATCGAAGCACAATTTAAGATCTGCACAGATCAATGTGACCCCATATTTTATGAAAATGTATTTCCAAGTACAGTACCAATCAGTATCTGACCTGTATGCCAATGCCAGTGCCCAGATGCTGGCAGCGCAGTAGAGCGAGTCTCTGACTTTAGCCTCCTTACAGGTGGAGCAGGTCTTCACCGGGAACAGGCCAGTGGTAGGGCTCTGGTAATTCAATATGGTGCTCTTGACTACAAAAAATAAAAAAAGGATGGGGATCAAAAACAGATTAAAAGGCATATTTATTTAACAGCCCAGAAAAAACCCAAATTACCAAAACAAATTACATTCATGATTTACTAAATGCAAAGTTCCATCTTTGTAATAAGTACATATAAAGCAAAGAAAAAACATAGCGACTGGTGAGGTTAAGATATTCCATAAAACACCTTATAGGCTAGGGGTCTTTATTATTTTTCCGCTTAAGATCCTTATTTTTCCCTTTTAAATTTAAAGGTGTTGCATAAAATAATAAATTAGTTTTAATTTAATAAGTGAAATTTCTTTGCTGCGCCCTACTTGGTGTTTCGATAATGCATAATAATCTTTGCACCACATTAAAAGACACAGCAGCCAGTGACTCTCAGTTTTTGACACATTTAAAGGGTGTGTTTGTGCATGAAACGTGTGTGTTTAGACGCATGTATTTGTGTGTGAGAGACCGAGCGAAATAGCGCTCGATTCACAGCTATGTCTTGCTGCAAGAGGCTGAGTTTCTTTCTTTATTTTGAAGGTCATGAATACATATTTGTATTCACATATGAATACTACGGAAAGACATAAAACTTTACAAATTACGTGTCCACTTTTGAAGGCTCATCTCAATTTCATAGATCTAGATAAAATAGCCTAAACTATATTGAAATAATAAAAGAATTACAAATATTGGATATAATAAAAATAAAGAAATATATAAAAAAACAAAAGCCATAACAATTTAGGTATATACAGTATAATATAAATAAATTAAACTTATCTGAAAAAAGATTTTAGATATTTTCTAAAAACAATAAGAAACAGATGAGTTTTGAAATATATTTTATAAATATATTTGAAATAATATATATGAAATATATATATATATACCTTTACCGTTCTTTTCTTTTCTGTCATCCAGTCCTGCAGCACTGCTTTGAAATAATATATATGAAATATATATATATATACCTATACCTTTCTTTTCTTTTCTGTCATCCAGTCCTGCAGCACTGCTTTACAAACAGATTGGGAAAAACTGCATGCAAAAAAGTGTTCTACATATGTCCTAAAAACAGGTGTTTGTTTTTATATGTGGTAAAATTAAAAAATTACATTTTAAATGTAGAGCTTTATTAGAAGGATTTTTAATATTTTAAATTGTAGTTTTTTTGCTAAGAGTTACCCTTTTTGAGGCAAAATTTATAGGTCAGAGAGTATTTAAATAATGGCAAGTATCATAAATAATAAAACATGAACAACTAACATTAGCTGTAGTCAGTTTAATGGTATTTGTCTCAATATCTAACACCCTAAAAAACATCTTTTTTTGCACTTGATATGGCTGTGGGAAGGAGGCACCGCAGAAAACATGTAGTCAAAGTTAGAATGAGTAAAAAATATTATTTGCTTGCGTTCATTTATTTAGAATGCCAGAAATGTTGTTATCCTAGCATACTGATATTGAAGGCAATATTATTTTTCTTTTAGAAGACTCTTATGGCAATGAGCTGCTGTTTCTTTAATTTTCTCCCCATCAGTAGACCCCTTGTAGACCATTCCTCTACCATCTGTGCTTTTACTGGATTGTGTTCTTGTGTTTATTGAAAATATTTTGCACATTTGGCCAATAGTCTTCAAAGGCAGTGACACAACATGGCAATGGCTGGCTGTTGGCCAGCATCACATCATTGGTAAGCATCTGCTGGGCAATTTTTTTGCAGTGTGTTCCTGCATGCGTGGGCAGTTTGCCAAATGCGCATGTTGAATCTGCAATGGTGCTTTTGGTGAGAGAGTTCATGCCAACTGGATGTTCAGATAATCAAATGAGTCCCAGTAACAGAATAAAAGCAAACAAGTGAGATTTTAAAAACAATAATAGGCTTGCATTATAAAAAGTGACCCAATATCAAATGTGCTGTATGTTAGTTTTTGACTTTTCTAAAGCATAAAAATACCATAATATGTTTGCAGAAATTTAAGAAACATGCTAATGCAAAACGACTGTCTTTGTTTTGGTCATTTAACCCACCCAATGCCAGTTTAGCCAATTATATTTCAGCACCCCGGGTTGCCTTGGTGGAAAACAGCATATTTCATTATTTCAGTCAGAAAGACTTTCAAAGTGTGCGTCCATGACCAAAATGCAACCTCTGGTAGACAGTAGCAGACTCCGAAATGAGACGAAGATTTAAGGTTCCACATAAGGTTATTAATTAACAAATAATGTTAATATTATAAACGTAAACATTACATGAGCAGATTACATTGTAATCCCGTGTCCTAACAACACGTTAAGTGACAAGATTTGTGATGAGCAATTTGGCTGTTTGCACCAGACGGAACACAAAAGACATTTAAATACAGCCATTAAAAAAGCACAGAATTTATGTACAATAACTGCATTTCAACAAAATGGTAATGTTTATAATATAATACATATTAAACCAATTAAATATACATGCTGAATCACTGATATGTGTTGATTTACACCTACAGTTCTAAATACTTCACAGTTCTAACATTTAATTTCAAACTGTTTTTTTTTTAAGATCTGAGGTAAACCATCTGCTGCTGCTTTCAGTAGTATGGCGATTAATGTCATGTAAAATGGCATTCACACACATTAACTCACATTGTTAGCATTTGAAATTGAATATTGCACATGAGGTGTACCTGAGGTGATCATTGTCAGTTTACTGTTGTTCAGCTGCAAAAAATAGAAGCTGTTTCTAATATGTAAATTTCAGGTGTCGGATTGGACAAAAACTCTTTTTAATATGGAAAATATTCCTTCTATCGCTTGCATTTGCTTTCATTCAGAACATGATTTAAATCAGCCTTAAATCACCCTTTAGGCTTGACAATCAGGCACATTGCTGTTGGTGTCATCAATCTGGCAACCTGTGCTTGCGCTTGTTTTGAACCAAATGTGCAATACCTATTTCAACAACTGGGCACAAGATGAAATACTGCACCTTTAAGATTTATAACATATTAATAGGTAAGGAAATACTGCCTCGTTAAGGATCGAATGTTTGCCTTTATGTATGACTTGTTCGATAAGGGAAACCGAAGTTAATATCTTATATCTGCTGATACAGACATTGATCCAAAACACTGTTTGTAGTTTCCTCTAATGAGCAGAAACCCGTACGATGCCTTCCTAGACTGTTTGCTAATCTCTGTACACCCTATCACACCTGCTATACTTGTTTTCTGACATTAAAATGGCACTGCATGTTTAATTAATCAAGCTAATTAAATATCATTGCTGTATTATACACCAGAAAAAAGTACAAAAAGGGCACCACGCATGTATCAGTCAACTGTTATGCTCTTCTCTCCTTCTCCACTGTGATTTCTCTTTACTAATGTATAATCAGGCTGAATAGGGCACTTCATTTTTCATCAGCACATTACGGCAGCACAAATGAAGGGGACATTCATTCCGAGCCATCATTTGTTAGGTAGAGTTTGGGTCAATTCAAAGAGACAGTGCCAGCAGGGCTGGGGGATAAGGAGACACAGGGGTGAATTAGTCAGAATATTAATATACTCTTCAGAGAGACTGCAGCCAGGATTACCCTGACATCCATCGGAAGAATCCGGCGTTCCAGACAGGGCGATAAATACATCTTTATCTGATTAGGCCTTGTACTATAACTGCGGTTGATGCTGGCAAGACTGAAAAGTAGACCGCATTTGAAGGCTTTCACAATGTTTCAGGGAGGAACAGGTCAGAGATCAATTAATCCAGAGAAGTGGGCTACACAGCCTGCTATTACTGCCCATTTGCTTCTGTGAAAACCTTAAATTACTAATCAAGAAAATCTCATTTGCAGTCCTTTCACAGTATGCCGAGGCATCACCTGCGATTTAAGTGACTTCTTTAGAGGAAGAGAAAGAAGAGAAATAACATATTATTCACACGCTCCTTTGGCGTGAGGGATGGAACGCATCATAGCACTCTAGATGCAAATGCTTTGAAGGCTGCATCTCTCTCATCATCTATCAGCATAATGCACCTCTAAATCAACTCCTAACACTGCACGCACAAACAGTCTGTTTTCAAGAAGAAGCCATTTTTATACACCAAAAAAGAAAAGGAGGGGGTCCATCACACAGACTAGACGACGACGGAGGAAATGGGCGTAGACTGAACCACACAGACGGAGAGAGACCGAAGGAGAAAACAAAGAAAGAAAGAGAAGAGAAGAGAGACCCATTAAAAGTTAAAGCTTGTTTTCTCCGGCCTTAATCTTGTGGAGGCAGAGGAAAGATAGCAGAACTGCATTCACAACAAACAGGCCGGAGAGGAGGAGGAGAAAAGGAGGAAATGAGAAGCACTGAAGCATGATGTCATTACCACATAAATGGGAAAACCCGGAAAGAGAGCGAGAAAGACTGGAAAATAAGAGAGATCCGAGATAAAAATGGCAATAACCTTCTGAGAAGAGTTCAAGATAATATAGCAACTATGCATGTAATGTGCTGCATTCATATCAAGCTTATTGCAAGCTGAGATGCATTTCAGGCTTGAGCATGAGTCTGCCAAAGCTATTACTATCTGAATTATGAAACTTTATTCATCGTTGTAGAATTGTAGGGAATGACATGGGGATTCACTTTCAAAACAGGATTACTCAACGCTAACGCTGTACGTTTGTCAGCTTCAACCGTGATTCATTCAAAAGGATCACCGAAATGAGAAGCATCCTCTCTGTCACTCTTTTCTTTGTTCTCTCTCCCTTCTTCCCTCTCTCAACCTGCAGTACTCTCATCCCAGTGTTGACTGTCTGGGGATTTTAAATGAGCTTTAGGAACAGGTTGAAGTCTGGATGGAGGAACGAGATTGAAAACACTGAATTTGCACATGCAACGTTCAAGATACAAGGCTTTTCCTTTGTTTTTGTGAAGGATGAAACATGTTTATCGAGTGCTGTACTAATGAGCTGAGGAGCGGGATCAGGTGTGCTAGATCAAAGAGATAAAG